AATAAAATATCGATATTGGGCGTTAGTGTATCGATTATTTATTGCGACAGAGAGCACAACAATATATTGCAATATCGATTTTTTTTCCCATCCCTAGTGTGTGTGCAGCATGTACAGTGTGTGTGTGTGTGTGTGTGTAGCATGTACAGAGTGTGTGTGTGTGTGTGTAGCATGTACAGAGTGTGTGTGTGTGTGTGTGTGTAGCTTGTACAGAGTGAACAGCAGCGGTCCTAGTACTGAGCCTTGTGGTACGCCATACTGAACTTGTGATCGATAAGACATCTCTTCATTTACTGCTACAAACTGATAACGGTCAGATAAGTGTGATTTAAACCATGCTAATGCAATTCCACTAATGCCAACATAGTTCTCTAGTCTATTTAAAAGAATGTTGTGGTCAAGGGTGTCAAATGCAGCACTAAGATCGAGTAACACTAATAGAGAGATACAACCACGATCGGATGATAAGAGCAGATCATTTGTGACTCTGATGAGAGCTGTCTCAGTGCTATGGTACGGTCTGAATCCTGACGGAAAATCCTCGCAGATATCATTTCTTTCTAGAAAGGAGCACCGTTGTGAGGATACTGCTTTTTCTAGTATCTTTGATAGAAAAGGCAGATTCGAGATCGGCCTGTAATTGACTAATTCTGTAGGATCAAGTTGTGGTTTTTTAACAAGCGGTTTTATCATAGCCAGCTTAAAGGTTTTTGGTACGTATCCTAGAGACAAAGATGAATTAATGATAGTAAGAAGAGGATCTATGACCTCTGGAAACATCTCTTTCAGTAGCTTAGTCGGTATAGGATCTTACATACAAGTTGTCGATTTAGATGATTTAACAAGTTTAGAAAATTCGTCCTCTCCTATGGCAATAAATGAATCAAATTTTTCCTCAGGGAGACTACAATGCACTTCCTGATGCGATACTGTGGTAGACGGTTGCATAGTTATAATTTTGTCCCTGATATTATCAATCTTATAAGTGAAGAAGTTCATAAAGTCATCACTGCTGTGTTGCTTTGACACTTCTGAGCTTGAAGCTTTCTTTTTCGTTAGTTTAGCCACTGTTTCAAATAAATACCTAGGATTATGTTTATTTTCTTCTAATAGGTTTGAAAAATAAGCAGATCTAGCAGCTTTTAAAGCCTCTCTGTAAGCAACCGAGCTCTCCTTCCATGAAATGCGAAATACCTCTAGTTTAGTTTTCTTCCAGTTTTGCTCCATGTTTCTGGCTGCTCTCTTAAGGGCCCGGGTGTGTGTGTGTGTGTGTGTGTGTGTGTGTGTGTGTGTGTGTGTGTGTGTGTGTGTGTGTGTGTGTGTGAGAGAGAGTGTGCTCGTTGTACCACGGCGTTGGACAATTTCCTTTAATCTCTAAGCGCAACGGAGCAACTGTGTCTAAAGTGTCTAAACTGTGTCACTATCATCATGCATTAACGAATTAAAGACCTGGCTCAACTCCAATTTTCTCAGTCTGAACCTGACTAAAACAGAAATATTAATCACTGGCCCTCCATCTCTAACAAAAAAAAATAAAGTAATATTCCCAGACTTGACCTTGAAGCTACATCAATAATTCCATCTGCCACTGTCAAAAACTTGGGTATCATTTTTGACCCTGCACTGACGTTCGACACTTACATTAATCAAATTTGTAAAGCATCCTTTTTTCATCTACGTCGTATGGCCAAACTCCGTGCCTATGTCAGCCCAAAAGACGCTGAAGCACTAGTACACGCGTTCATCACTTCTCGCCTCGACTATTGTAATGTTATTTTTTCTGGTCTACCAGCACACTCTATCTCACGCTTGCAATATATTCAAAACTCTGCCGCAAGACTATTAACTTACACCAAAAAAAAAGTCACTCAATGATCCCGTCTATCATCTATGGGTGGCAGGGCTTTCTCTGTTATAGCCCCCAAGCTTTGGAACTCTCTTCCGTTGGCTCTCAGGACAACAACCACATTGCATGTATTTAAGTATAAACTCAAAACACATTTGTTTAACCAGTCACAATGTTAACAGTCACAAAGTTAACCTAGGTTCCAATAATTCTATTGCATCTTCACTCCAACTGCCCACTATGTTGTCTGTAATTAATGTTTGTTGCCCTGTTTTATGTTTGTATTGTAAATGTAATGTGATTTGCAACTGCAATCGCTCATTACTTGGACTGGGCAAATGCCCATTGTCTGTCTATGTGTAAACTGCTTGCTATCTACTGTCAATGTGAAGCGTCATTGAGCTTGGGAAAGGCACTATATAAATTAAACTTATTATTATTATTAAAGTGCTGGAAAAGAGAGTTAAAAGTTTCTGTTGCAATATCGAGTTCTTCTAAGCTATCTGGGATGCTGAGATGATGAAACTGATTAGGAAGATTATTGATAAAGCAATCTTTAGTGGCAGAAGTTATAGGTCTAACATATTTATAACACGGAGTCGGCTTTGCAGCCTTGGCTAAATGAAGTTTACATGAGACTAGATAATGATCTGAGATGTCATCGCTCTGCTGCAGAATTTCAACAGCATCAACATCTATTCCATGTGATAATATTAGATCTAGAGTATGATTACGACAATGAGTAGGTCCTGACACGTGTTGTCTAACTCCAATTGAGTTTACAATATCTTTAAATGCCAATCCCAAAGCATCTTTTTCATTATCTACATGTATATTAAAATCACCAACAATTAGTACTTTATCTGCAGCCAATACTAACTCTGATAGAAAGTCCGCAGATTCTTTGATAAAGTCTGTGTGGTGCCCTGGTGGCCTGTATACAGTAGCCAGCACAAATCTCAGACGGGATTCATCATTTACACTAGATAGTGTTACATTAAGCACCAACACTTCAAATAATTATATTTAAAATTAGACTTCTCAGTAATTCTGAAGATATTACTATAAATTACAGCAAAACCTCCCCCTTTGCCTTTCAGACGAGGCTCGTGTGTGTGTACCTGCAGTACAGTGAGGTGCAGGACCGTGTGTAACGTGTGTGTGTGTGTGTGTGTCCTCAGGTGGTGAACCTGCAGTACAGTGAGGTGCAGGACCGTGTGTAACGTGTGTGTGTGTGTGTGTGTGTGTGTGTGTGTGTGTGTGTGTGTCCTCAGGTGGTGAACCTGCAGTACAGTGAGGTGCAGGACCGTGTGATGTTGACCGGCAGACACATGGTTCGGGACGTGAGCTGTAAGAACTGCAACAGTAAACTGGGCTGGATCTACGAGTTCGCCACAGAGGACAGCCAGCGCTATAAAGAGGGTCGAGTGATCCTGGAGCGAGCGCTGGTGCGGGAGAGCGAGGGGTTCGAGGAGCACGTGCCGTCAGACGCCTCCTGAGTCACCTGACCTCCGTCAGCCCGGTCACGTGATCACATGACCTTCATCAGCCCAGTCACGTGACCTCCGTCAGCCCAGTCACATGATCACCCTCAGCCCGCCTTCTCGCAGAGAAACATGATTTTATCTAAATAGATTTACAAATAAACACTCATTTGACGCTGAAAAATCTCCTCTTTAATTGGCTGAAAGTACAGAAATGATGAGGCTCATGAAGGAATGTGAATTCATATGACTTCTATAAACACTGACAGAAATTCATAAGCTCATGTTTTCTTCATGCATCTTTCCTCTCTGTAAGTGTTTGAGCCAAAACACTGCTTCGTACTATTGTGTGTCTATGCCATTATTGCTGTTGTTTTGTTTGTGTCGTGTCTTCAGCTCAGTTTTATGTTAATGTTATTCTCAGTGAACGTGATGCAACACATTTTACAGATTTGTAGATAAACGACCTGATTAGATTAGTTCAATAATGAGTTTTCTCACCATCTTGATATTATGACACATGATGAAACCTGCAGTTTCACTCGCGCCTGTAGAACAGAAAGATAAATGCATCTAAAAGCATTGGGACATCATTGACAAATCTACTTGTTCTGTTTGTTTTCCTGGATCTCAGTGGAATGTGTTTCATATGTTCACTGGGAGCAGATGCTGATAAAGCATAACCTGAGCTGGAGACACAGTAAGACCACAGCAATACCAGCACAGATAAACGTGTGTGAGGTTCTCCTTTCTGCTGTCAGGATCACGGGAGATTGGAGTTCGAGAATGGAGAAATCAGTGGAGTAGTAATTCATCAAACTCAGTTTCCTTGATAGTTTATAGATCGCCCGGGTAGCGATGAGGAGTGTGACGGCTGTAAGAACTCCTCATCATCTGTGCGCTTCTTTCTCCCGGCAGTCGAGAGCTAAACAAACCGGTTCAGGATTGCTGACTGGAGAGATTGGAAGCTTCTCCTCTGGGTGAACAGGTTTCTGTCAGCGCTGTGATCAAGGCACTGTTCTGAATGAAATGTATATACACGTGTGTAAAGGTTCCTGAAGCATCAGCCTGTTCTCGATCACACACTCTCGAAAGATCCCGCCGTCTGCCTTTGTTAGAAATGATTTGTTCTAGTTCAGTTGCTTTTCCCTTAGTTTAGCATTCAGAGGAGCGTTGAGTGTTACTGAAGCGATTACTGGTGGATTTGTTCCTAAAGCTCCTCAGTTCTGCCGCAGTCTGAAACTTTATTGTTCTGTAATTCTCAGCAAATTCCTCACATGCTTATGATCGTTTCTCTTTAGTGTTTGTTTGTGATGTAAAAGTGTGACCAGCAAGACCGTTTTCTGCTTCTCTATATTTATCCTTTCATTAAAGCATTTTCTGTTCATTATGTTTTTTCAGCGTCTGACGTTTCTAATCTCAGTTGTGTTTAGCCTGAGCTGCATGTTCTTATACACACTGAACAAAATTATAAACGCAAAACTTTTGTTTTTGCCCCCATTTTTCATGAGCTGAACTCAAGGATCCAAGACTTTATCTATGTACACAAAAGGCCTATTTCTCTCAAATATTGTCCACAAATCTGTCTAAACCTGTGTTAGTGAGCACTTCTCCTCTGCCGAGATGATCCATCACCTCACAGGTGTGGCATATCAAGATGCTGATTACACAGCAGGATTATTGCACAGGTGTGCCTTAGGCTGGCCACAATAAAAGGCCACTCTATAATGTGCAGTTTTACCTCCCAGCAGAGGGCAGTGAAGCTCAGTGTTGTTCTTCTGCAGTCTTGAGAAGAAGTGCTCGACTTCATCCAACATCACAGAGGATCATCTTCGGTTCTGTGTCTGTGTGTGTGTGTGTGTGTGTGAGAGAGAGTATTAACTAGAGCTGACGGAAGGGTTTTATCTTACATCTACTGTCATTCAAGCCCTGCTCACGTACACTGGAACAAAACCTAATTTCTGCTGGTCAAACACGTGTTTACTGACACCAAACAAATCAGATCAACAGAAAAACTCACCAGTATGTTAAAAGAAACTGCTTCTCGCTCTTAAAAATAAAGGTTCAAAAGGAGGTTTCCATAGAAGAACCATTTTTGGTTCCCCAAAGAACCTTTCAGTGGCATCGATGGTTCCAGAGAAGAACATTTAACACTTAATACTAAATACCATATTATGGATGATGACATCACTGTTTTCAGCAGAATTTCTTTATAGATGAAATTAACTAATTTAATAATAGATTATCTTTACAAGGGAGCTGACTTCAGCTGAACAACAGACGAAATGCATTGTGTTCCTGTTTATGACTGTAAAGCTGCTCTGAAACAATCTGAATCTTGAATATTTAATTTTTCCATTGCACAAAAGTTTCTTCAGATTATTAAAATGTACTTCACAAAATGGCTCTTTTAAGGACTGATCGCTGAAAGGTTCTTTGGGGAACCAGAAATGGTTCTTCTTCTGAAAACCCCTTTTTGGAACCTTTATTAAAATAAAACAAACATTCTTAATCTAATGAACCTTTTGTGGAATAAACAAAGATTCGATGACAAAGAGCCTTATTTTTAAGAGTGCACGTGTGAGTTGTTTGAGGACACGAGAGAATCAGATGAAGCTCATTAGATCGAGAAGTTTTACGATCAGAGATGAAAGCTGTCAGTCAGCAGACTCTTATCGCGCTCATGTAATCGCAGATGATTTATGATCTGACTGTTTCTACAGTGAGCAGAAGCGCTGAGCACGTAGAGCAATAACCCCGCTGACCTGCACGGAACTCACTAACTAACGCTTAAACAGCAGGAAAGAAACCCGCCGGGTGAGTGTGTGTGTGTGTGTGTGTGTGTGACCAAAGGTGACAGTGAGAGGAATCCAGCAGCACAACAGCGCGCGCGAGGAGACGCGTCAGACGCGCGCGCTGAATCATCGGTGTGTGGAAAACTGCCAACTCATGCTCGTCAGCGTGAGACTCCAGGTGATGAGCAGAGACGAGCACACAGACCATCACACACACCTGCATCCCACACACCTGCGTCTCACACACACTCGACCATGGGCCGCTACAGCGGGAAGACGTGCCGCCTGATCCTGATGCTCGTCATCACCGTGGTCTTCTTCGTGGCCGAGATCGTGGCGGGTTACATGGGGAACTCCATCGCGCTCGTGTCCGACTCCTTCAACATGCTGTCGGATATACTGTCGCTGTGCGTCGGGCTGACGGCGGCGCGTGTGTCGCGGCGCGCGGGCTCGGGGCGCTTCACCTACGGCATGGGCCGCGCGGAGGTGGTGGGCACGTTGGCCAACGCGGTGTTCCTCGCGGCGCTCTGCTTCTCCGTGTCCATGGAGTCGCTGAAGAGGCTCGCGTTGCCGCAGGCGATCGATGACCCAACGCTGGTGCTGATCGTGGGCGCGCTCGGGCTCGCGGTGAACGTGCTCGGGCTCCTGGTGTTCCAGGACTACCGGTGCCTGTGCGCGGCGCGGCAGAAGGACGCGGGGGCGTCGCGCAAAGAGGACGGGGAAGTGGCGGAGGAAGAAGCAGGTGCTGATCATCACAACGCTTCATTGTGTGTGAGAGGGAGAGAGATAGAGTGTGTGTGTGTGTGTGTGAGATGAGAGTTGTTGTAAACAGATCATGCATGAATTATTAGTACAGTATTGACTGTTTGCTTGTACTTTGAACTAATAATCTGCAATGAAAGAGGCCATTCACACAGAACAGAACGCGTAACAAAAGCAACTGGAATAAAGTTCTAGTTCTAGAAAAAAATCTATTTGTTTACAAGTTGAACTTTTAGCTTGGTTTATACTCGCCGGAAGGTGTGGGCGGCAAAAATGACGTCATCGCGGAGTGGGCGGTCGTGCGCGTTTAGTGCGCGAGACCCCATTTCGCGTGGCGATGTGCACGGCATTTTTTGTAACTTTCCGCGCGGCCCCGCTTCCGAAGAGATGCACGACTTCGAGCCGAATCTGGCCGAGCATGTTCTCATCACACCGACACCCAGTTTGTGCATCTAAATTAGTTTACATTTATAAAAGGACCCTTCAATAAGCCCGTTTAATAAAAATAAAGGTCCATGTTTTATAAACATGTTCACGAAACTAAATGAAAATTTTAAGGTAGCCCCAGAGCCCGTCTACGGAGAGCCTGCATGGCCACTCCCTATTACGTCCTATTGTACCGAGTTGTGGTTGTAGTTCCACTGGGGGCGATCGCCCATGAGTGCAAAATGAATGGGAGTCTATGGAGCTAGACGGCAAAATTTGTCTCTTTCACCCGATTGCCGTTGAGAAATCTCAGATTTGATTGTAGGTTTTGCAAGTTCAACATGGGTTATAGGTCGAAAGTTGAATGAACGAGTACTTATGTCCTTTCGATTTCTTACAGGTTGAGTTGTTGTTGCCCATAACACGTGAGCATTCTGCTAATGGACGCTGGTTGGTCAGTGAAGGACTGATTACGACCAGAGACACCGCTTGATGGCATCGTGGCATCCGAAGCGGGACCTTTAACTTTAGTTTTACACAAACTCTTCTAGCTCGTGTGTTTACCTGTGTCAGCTGTGTCGAGAGAAAAGAAAGTGCAGAGCGCGAACGCACCAAAGTGACTGAAGGATTGCCGTAAAGCAGTATCTCTGGTCGTACGATGTGTATGACATCATTGACATTTTAAAAGCAATAAGTGAAAGTGACTCTAAAAAATCTAACACCCAACAATGTGTAATTTCTTTGCATCTCGTTTCGAATACAACATTCAAATTACTAGACAAAAAATTATAAAGTGGATTTTGAGGGGTATATCTCCATAGACCTCCATTCATTCTGCACTCGTCCTGTGAGCGCCCCCATATGTGGAACTGCAACCAGTTCAGAAGCCGGAAGTTTACTGAGAGTGGAAGTTCTCCCCTTATGAGACATTCTCTGGTAGCCCTAACCTAACCCTAACCCTAACCCTAGATTACAATTACTCGAGGCGCCCCCTGTCGTTTCAAATAGTACAACGGCGGCGCATCAAGTATAAACACCTCGTGCGTTTGTGGAGGCTCGCGCTGCGGAGACAAGGCTTCACCGAGCGCAGCGGTCCGCGCATGTTTACAGCGAAAAACACCCGTTCTGTGTGAACGGGCTCTTAATCCATGACTTCTGATCGTCCAGCTGTGATGTTTGACCCTCAGAACCAAACATGCTTGTGGATCTTCAGTTCTGCACTCCACACTTGTCCATTATGCGTCCACAGGGCTCCAGGACCAGAAGGCTGAGAGAGAAGGTCCTCCTCTGAACATCCGAGGTGAGTCTCCTGCGTTTGAGTGTTGGTCAGGCCAGTGCTGGGCGGTATACCGGTTCATACCGAATACCGGTGTTTATTTTTGTAATGATATGAATTTTTAATATACCGACATAAACAACGTTGGGAACGCGTCGCGACACCGTTTGAGAGAGCCTTTTCACTGTTGCACTGGTGATGCACAGCTGTGTTACTAAGCGTGGCAGTGAAGATAGATCTGTTAAACTATAATTGATAGCTGTCAAATTATATTACAGTGTTTTCCATCACAATATCACAATATCAACACTGCCCGCAACAAATACATTTTCCAAAAGGCTTTGACATCGTTGAATAAAGTCTCTCTGAGGGTCAGTGTTGTCTCTCTGAGGGTCAGTGTTGTCTCTCGCCTCTCTGAGGGTCAGTGTTGTCTCTCTGAGGGTCAGTGTTGTCTCTCGCCTCTCTGAGGGTCAGTGTTGTCTCTCGCCTCTCTGAGGGTCAGTGTTGTCTCTCGCCTCTCTGAGGGTCAGTGTTGTCTCTCTGAGGGTCAGTGTTGTCTCTCGCCTCTCTGAGGGTCAGTGTTGTCTCTCGCCTCTCTGAGGGTCAGTGTTGTCTCTCGCCTCTCTGAGGGTCAGTGTTGTCTCTCGCCTCTCTGAGGGTCAGTGTTGTCTCTCTGAGGGTCAGTGTTGTCTCTGAGGGTCAGTGTTGTCTCTCGCCTCTCTGAGGGTCAGTGTTGTCTCTGAGGGTCAGTGTTGTCTCTGAGGGTCAGTGTTGTCTCTCTGAGGGTCAGTGTTGTCTCTCTGAGGGTCAGTGTTGTCTCTCTGAGGGTCAGTGTTGTCTCTCTGAGGGTCAGTGTTGTCTCTCGTCTCTCTGAGGGTCAGTGTTGTCTCTCGCCTCTCTGAGGGTCAGTGTTGTCTCTCGTCTCTCTGAGGGTCAGTGTTGTCTCTCGTCTCTCTGAGGGTCAGTGTTGTCTCTCGTCTCTCTCAGGGTCAGTGTTGTCTCTCGTCTCTCTGAGGGTCAGTGTTGTCTCTTGTCTCTCTGAGGGTCAGTAGTGTTGTCTCTCTGAGGGTCAGTGTTGTCTCTCTGAGGGTCAGTGTTGTCTCTCGTCTCTCTGAGGGTCAGTGTTGTCTCTCGTCTCTCTGAGGGTCAGTGTTGTCTCTCGCCTCTCTGAGGGTCAGTGTTGTCTCTCTGAGGGTCAGTGTTGTCTCTCGTCTCTCTGAGGGTCAGTGTTGTCTCTCGCCTCTCTGAGGGTCAGTGTTGTCTCTCGTCTCTCTGAGGGTCAGTGTTGTCTCTCGTCTCTCTGAGGGTCAGTGTTGTCTCTCGTCTCTCTCAGGGTCAGTGTTGTCTCTCGTCTCTCTGAGGGTCAGTGTTGTCTCTTGTCTCTCTCAGGGTCAGTGTTGTCTCTCGTCTCTCTGAGGGTCAGTGTTGTCTCTCGTCTCTCTGAGGGTCAGTGTTGTCTCTCGTCTCTCTCAGGGTCAGTGTTGTCTCTCGTCTCTCTGAGGGTCAGTGTTGTCTCTCGTCTCTCTGAGGGTCAGTGTTGTCTCTCGTCTCTCTGAGGGTCAGTGTTGTCTCTCGTCTCTCTGAGGGTCAGTGTTGTCTCTCGTCTCTCTGAGGGTCAGTGTTGTCTCTCGCCTCTCTGAGGGTCAGTGTTGTCTCTCCTCTTTATGAGGGTCAGTGTTGTCTCTCGTCTCTCTGAGGGTCAGTGTTGTCTCTCTGAGGGTCAGTGTTGTCTCTCGCCTCTCTGAGGGTCAGTGTTGTCTCTCTGAGGGTCAGTGTTGTCTCTCTGAGGGTCAGTAGTGTTGTCTCTCTGAGGGTCAGTGTTGTCTCTCTGAGGGTCAGTGTTGTCTCTCTGAGGGTCAGTAGTGTTGTCTCTCTGAGGGTCAGTGTTGTCTCTCTGAGGGTCAGTGTTGTCTCTCGCCTCTCTGAGGGTCAGTGTTGTCTCTCGTCTCTCTGAGGGTCAGTGTTGTCTCTCGTCTCTCTGAGGGTCAGTGTTGTCTCTCTGAGGGTCAGTGTTGTCTCTCTGAGGGTCAGTGTTGTCTCTCTGAGGGTCAGTGTTGTCTCTCTGAGGGTCAGTGTTGTCTCTCATCTCTCTGAGGGTCAGTGTTGTCTCTCATCTCTCTGAGGGTCAGTGTTGTCTCTCTGAGGGTCAGTGTTGTCTCTCATCTCTCTGAGGGTCAGTGTTGTCTCTCATCTCTCTGAGGGTCAGTGTTGTCTCTCTGAGGGTCAGTGTTGTCTCTCATCTCTCTGAGGGTCAGTGTTGTCTCTCGTCTCTCTGAGGGTCAGTGTTGTCTCTCGTCTCTCTGAGGGTCAGTGTTGTCTCTCTGAGGGTCAGTGTTGTCTCTCATCTCTCTGAGGGTCAGTGTTGTCTCTCTGAGGGTCAGTGTTGTCTCTCATCTCTCTGAGGGTCAGTGTTGTCTCTCATCTCTCTGAGGGTCAGTGTTGTCTCTCTGAGGGTCAGTGTTGTCTCTCATCTCTCTGAGGGTCAGTGTTGTCTCTCGTCTCTCTGAGGGTCAGTGTTGTCTCTCGTCTCTCTGAGGGTCAGTGTTGTCTCTCTGAGGGTCAGTGTTGTCTCTCTGCAGGTGTTCTTCTGCACGTGCTGAATGACGCACTGGGGTCGGTGGTGGTGGTCGTGGCGTCGGCTCTGTTCTATGTGTGGCCCCTGGCCCCCGAGAGCCCGTGCAACTGGCAGTGTTACGTGGACCCCAGTCTAACCCTCATCATGGTGGCTATCATCATGTCCTCCGCAGTTCCACTGGTCAAAGAAACCGCTGGAATCCTGTTGCAAATGAGTCCGGCTGACCTGCGGCTGAGCCCCGTCCGTGAGTTTACCAGCACACACACTCACTCACACACACACACTTACACACACACTGATGAGTCCGGCTGACCTGCGGCTGAGCCCCGTCCGTGAGTTCAGCAGCACACACACTCACACACACACACACACTCACACACACACTGATTAGTCCGGCTGACCTGCGGCTGAGCCCCGTCCGTGAGTTTACCAGCACACACACTCACACACACACACACACACTGATGAGTCCGGCTGACCTGTGGCTGAGCCCCGTCCGTGAGTTCAGCAGCACACACACTCACTCACACACACACACTCACACACACACTGATGAGTCCGGCTGACCTGCGGCTGAGCCCCGTCCGTGAGTTCACCAGTACACACACTCACACACACACTGATGAGTCCGGCTGACCTGCGGCTGAGCCCCGTCCGTGAGTTTACCAGCACACACACTCACACACACACTGATTAGTCCGGCTGACCTGCGGCTGAGCCCCGTCCGTGAGTTTACCAGCACACACACTCACACACACACTGATGAGTCCGGCTGACCTGCGGCTGAGCCCCGTCCGTGAGTTCACCAGTACACACACTCACACACACACTGATGAGTCCGGCTGACCTGCGGCTGAGCCCCGTCCGTGAGTTCACCAGTACACACACTCACACACACACTGATTAGTCCGGCTGACCTGCGGCTGAGCCCCGTCCGTGAGTTTACCAGCACACACACTCACACACACACACACACACACTGATGAGTCCGGCTGACCTGTGGCTGAGCCCCGTCCGTGAGTTCAGCAGCACACACACTCACTCACACACACACACTCACACACACACTGATGAGTCCGGCTGACCTGCGGCTGAGCCCCGTCCGTGAGTTCAGCAGCACACACACTCACACACACACACACACACACTCACACACACACTGATTAGTCCGGCTGACCTGCGGCTGAGCCCCGTCCGTGAGTTTACCAGCACACACACTCACACACACACTGATGAGTCCGGCTGACCTGTGCCTGAGCCCCGTCCGTGAGTTCAGCAGCACACACACTCACTCACACACACACACTCACACACACACTGATGAGTCCGGCTGACCTGCGGCTGAGCCCCGTCCGTGAGTTCACCAGTACACACACTCACACACACACACACTGATGAGTCCGGCTGACCTGCGGCTGAGCGCCGTCCGTGAGTTCACCAGTACACACACTCACACACACACACACACACTGATGAGTCCGGCTGACCTGTGGCTGAGCCCCGTCCGTGAGATCACCAGCACACACACTCACACACACACTGATTAGTCCGGCTGACCTGTGGCTGAGCCCCGTCCGTGAGTTCACCAGCACACACACTCACACACACACACTGATGAGTCCGGCTGACCTGCGGCTGAGCCCCGTCCGTGAGTTCACCAGCACACACACTCACATACACACACTGATGAGTCCGGCTGACCTGCGGCTGAGCCCCGTCCGTGAGTTCACCAGCACACACACTCACACACACACTGATTAGTCCGGCTGACCTGTGGCTGAGCCCCGTCCGTGAGTTCACCAGCACACACACTCACACACACACACTGATGAGTCCGGCTGACCTGCGGCTGAGCCCCGTCCGTGAGTTCACCAGCACACACACTCACACACACACACTGATGAGTCCGGCTGACCTGCGGCTGAGCCCCGTCCGTGAGATCACCAGCACACACACTCACACACACACTGATTAGTCCGGCTGACCTGTGGCTGAGCCCCGTCCGTGAGTTCACCAGCACACACACTCACACACACACACTGATGAGTCCGGCTGACCTGTGGCTGAGCCCCGTCCGTGAGATCACCAGCACACACACTCACACACACACTGATGAGTCCGGCTGACCTGCGGCTGAGCCCCGTCCGTGAGTTCAGCAGCACACACACTCACACACACACACTGATGAGTCCGGCTGACCTGTGGCTGAGCCCCGTCCGTGAGATCACCAGCACACACACTCACACTCACACACACACTGATTAGTCCGGCTGACCTGCGGATGAGCCCCGTCCGTGAGTTCACCAGTACACACACTCACACACCACACACACACTGATTAGTCCGGCTGACCTGCGGATGAGCCCCGTCCGTGAGTTCACCAGTACACACACTCACACACACACACACTGATGAGTCCGGCTGACCTGCGGCTGAGCCCCGTCCGTGAGCTCACCAGCACACACACTCACACACACACACACACTGATGAGTCCGGCTGACCTGCGGCTGAGCCCCGTCCGTGAGTTCACCAGTACACACACTCACACACACACTGATGAGTCCGGCTGACCTGCGGCTGAGCCCCGTCCGTGAGCTCACCAGCACACACACTCACACACACACACACACACAGATGAGTCCAGCTGACCTGCGGCTGAGTCCCGTCCGTGAGTTCACCAGCACACACACTCACACACAGTGGAGAAACTCTGCACACACACACTGCACTAGCACAGATAAAGCTTTAAAAGGGGGTTTTCACAGAGAATCAATTGATGAACCATTTCTGGTTCCAAAGAAATGCAGAAACGCTTCTGGAACAAGAACACATGTGGGCGGGGCTTGATTGTGTCTGTGGGGAGTTGATTGGATGGTTGTGGTTTGCTATTGGCTGATCTCATGTGAGTGACAGGTTATAGCCCCGCCCTCGTCATCAGAGAAGAGAAGAGATGCTGCAAGAGGAACTGATTCTGATTCAAGATAACCAGGAACAGGAGTTTAAAACACTGATAAATAATTAAGAATAAATTATTGGTGGTTTCATGCTGACTTTAATGGAAAAGCTTCCCACTCATGACGCTTGTTTTTCTGTGTGTGTGTCCCAGTGGAGAGTGTGTGCAAACTCCCCGGCGTGACGAGCGTTCACGAGGCTCACGTGTGGGAGCTGTCTAAAGGGCGTAACGTGGCGTCGCTGCACGTGCGAGTGTGTCCAGAGCTGGCGGATCTGAGCTGGGCGGCGGGGCCGGCGGGCCGGGTCGGGCTCCACGGCCAGATCCTGCAGGTGTTCCACCGGGCCGGGGTCCACAGCGTGACGGTGCAGCTGGAGCGGGCCGAGGGAGAGACGGACACCGGACACTGCAGCGGAGTGTGTGTGTCGCCCGCCTGCGTCAAGCTCTCCTGCTGTCCTGCCGGCGCCACCTCAGTGAGTGTGTGTGACGGAAAGCCCTCAGTGAGTGTGTGTGATGGAAACTCCTCCTCGCCCTCGGGGGACGTGGCTGTTGACATGCTGAACGCTGGATCCGCCCTGCTGAGAGACACACACACAGACACACACAGCCTGAACACACCTGACAAGTGTGCCGAAAGCACCAAGTTTTAAAGCTAAAAGGCTGGTTTTTCAGAAGCGTGGAAGATTTTTGTCCTGGACTAAAAACCCACAATGTTTTAGTCTGAGACTGAATCCCAGCCGGATCTGAGCAACAGTGCTGTGATATTCTGCAGAACACAAAAGACTGTTTAAAGGGATAGTTCACCCAAAAATGAAAATTAGCCCATGATTTACTCTCCCTCAAGCCATCCTAGGTGTGTATGACACTCTTCTTTCAGACGAACAC